TAATGTAGTGGGGGACAAAACATTATGTAGTGGGATTAAAAGGGGATAAGTGGGAAAATAGTGGGTTTTGTGTTTAAAAAATGCTGAAAGATGGTAATAAATAGAAGGGATTTGATCAGATTTTGAAGAGAAGAAAAAAAGGAAGAAGGGGAGATAAAAAAGAGTTGAATATTGAAGATAGAGAGAAAAATTCCGAAAATACTAAGACTCCAAAATAAAAAGAAAAACATTCTGAAAATTCAAAAGAAGAATAGTATACACCTGATATACAATCTAAATATTCTGATATACGGATTTAGAAATTAAGGGTTGAACATTAATTAGTCTTTCAACTCTGAAAAGATTCTATTGGCTTCTGTCCGTTGATTGTTGTCGGTGTTTCTGGATTTTTATCTTGAGTTTTAAAATCCGTCACTAGTTTCTCATTGCTGGTTGTTGGGTGTTGCTGTTGTTGTATGCCACTGAATTTCTGCTGATCTCCCTTTTCTTTTGCTTCCAATATCAGGTACACGACTGTAACACTAGCTATTGCAAGCTAATAATGTGGAAGCATGAATACATATGAAGAACTGAATTTTGAAGTTTTAATGTCGCTTTTCTTTGTTCCTTTTATTGACTGTATTTAGGCTATTTCATGTATTACTGAATAATAATTGGAATAAGAGAAAATAACATAAGTTAGTCTTTAATGAATCAGTTTGGCAAAACGGGTTAATTCACTAGTTATGAAGGTTTTAAGATTATCAACAGTAGGTTAATCGTGAACAAGTAGCTAAATTTAGCTAAGGTATGAATTTAAACTGAATTTCGTGAATTAGGCATTAAAGCACGATTTGAGTTCGAACAAGATTAGAAGAACGTTTAAGTTTAATAAACTTTCTAATAAGCATTAGTAATTATGGTTAAATCTAGTTTCAAATGGTTGTGAATAATTAATCTCAATAGTTTTTTTTATAACAATGCGAGTTTTAATCTAGCTATATTTGATTCTTTTGAATATTAGTTGTCGAATTTTTATTTTATTTATAATTTCGAATTTTTGAGTAAAATTCCTTTTCATCAATATTTGTATTAATCTAGCAATTAGTATGCCATGCTTTCTTAAATAAATAAATAAATAAATAAATAAGCTCGTAATTAATTAGGATTTTCTTTCTTTATTTTAGAGACTAATTTTAATAGAAAAATGTAGTCGCTTTAAGATTTGTCCATTTAAAATAACTGAGACGAGCCTCGCCTAGTAAAATATGTAGATTGCGGGGCCCTCACAAATGTATGCATTAATTATTTAGAACATCGGAGTTGGCCGTCTAGTGAAATTTTACGGTCTTTCCCAAAACAACAATACGCTAGTCGCTTTAGGCGCGTCTTTAACAAATTATTTTCTTAAATATGGGTGTGCATTTATGTAACCCAAATCCAAATCTCAACAGAGTCGAAATGTATCGATAACCACGGGTGCATTAATTGCGACGTGGTTTGAAATACGTTTTCATAATGTTGCAATTCTCCGTAAAACATTAACAATAAATATAATAATAAAAGCGGTAAAGAGTTATAAATTTGCACATGAGCTCATAATTGTATAAAAATAAGATATTTAAGCCAAATATGGTAGTTGAGCGACCGTGCTAGAACCACGAAACTCGGGAATGCCTAACACCTCCTCCCGGGTTAACATAATTCCTTATCCGGATTTCTGGTTCGCAGACTGTAATACAAAGTCATTCTTTTCCTCGATTCGAGATTAAAATTGGTGACTTGGGACACCCTAAATCTCCCAAGTGGCGACTCTGAAATAAATAAACAAATCCCGTTTCGATTGTCCTTTAATTGGAAAAAACTCCTTCACCCCTCGCGGGGGCGGAAAAAGGAGGTGTGACACCAGTGACAACCCATAAAGTCTCTACGACATAAAACCTTATATACCTCCGTAGTTGACTCCCTTACCGTCATCTCACGGCACTATCTTACGCTGTAGAATTTTACAACCCTGATTAGGCGATCTTTTATCAGGGAAATACATGCCCTTTGCAAGCACAGCTCGTCTAGACTCATCCCACATCACTTATCGAAATTCATGCTATAACTACTTGGTATTAATTGAGAAGGGTTCACATCTCAGAAGGAGTACTGGGTTTTGACTTACAGACGCTTCGTTGGTATTGCGGTACTCGCCTGGTTGATCGACTACTGATATTCAGATTTTGCTATGTGGCACGGAAGAATTATCGAATTATTCCTTATGGGATGTCGTGTATGGGAGACGTGTTAGACATTAGGGCAGTAGAGTTGGGATCAAATATGGTGATTCGTGTGTTCTATGGATTTGAGACCAGGAGTTCTTAGAAGCAGAGTATTTCGTGATTGTGGAATGTGAAGATGTGGCCAAAGCTAGCCAGATGATAGTATGTGTTATGGTTCAGTCATTGTGGACTTTCGGAGGTTTATTTATCTATTTGTGGATAACTAGGGTTGATCTGGGGGCCCATTGGTAGGACTAATGATGATTTGTATCCTACACCAGGTTAGATTTGTTGACTCAACACAGTTAGTATTGGGGGTGAGTTAGTCAGTTAGAGTTGAGCTTGTTCGTGTTGTGATATGTTCTATGAGTTACTCTTTTATGCTGCGAGGGGTTATGATTTGTTGGTTATATGCACACAAGGTGCAGTTCTGTTTGGGTCTTGTAGCAGAATTCGAGCGGAATGGTTATCGGGGATGGGGAATGGTTGATTGCACCTTGGTTATGGTCCTTTCGGGTTGTGTTATTGTGTTATTTGCTTATCCGTGATTACGATCATGCACTTTGGGTACTTGATGTCGAATTGCGTGTGGTCTTTGATTTTGAGCATTGTGGCTTGAGGTATTTCATATGGACCAGTGTTTGGATGGGGTCACGCAATGTAGCCGGGTTATGTCGGGATATGATCCTTTTTGTTAGATTCATGTGTCTTGGTTCTACTAGGTATGATGGGTTCAAAACATTTCGGTTGTGGTGGTATTTGTTGAACTTGCGGGATGGTTCTCTCGTTTGGGTCATTTTCCATGATTGAGTACATTGGATTGTTGCTTAGGGGTGCACGGATTGCACGAGTATGGCTTTAGGTTGTATTGATGTGGCATGTCACTAGAGTGGTTGTGTTGGGTGATATAAGGTCATTGGACCTAGGATGGAAGCTGTCGGATTTGATTACAGCATGTATGGAGGAATAATATCGGGAGTCCGACTTAGAAGTTGCCTATAACTCTTGTCGAAGGAGAGGGAGCTCCATGATTTGTTGATCATCATCCCTTGTGAGGGCATCCACGTTCGACATACTTGGCAAATTATCAAGGTAGGGAATATTCCGCTCATGAAAAGGCACGTGAAACTCGTACACTCTTGGTCTAACATGAGGTGGAGGAGCATGCTCCCTCGTCAGCTCAGGTTCGGCATCCACTTCCTCCTCGTCATCATCCTCATCATAGAAGGGTGTGTCATCTCCAGACTCATCAACATTGTTGTCATAATCACTATCATCTTCCTCACTCTGCGCATCTGCTAAATCACGAGTCAGTACGTCGTCTATGGGCAACTGTGTGAGGTCAGGAACATCAAGTTGCTCGTTTTCACTGCACAAAAATAACAAAATGATAAGCTACCCAACTAGATAAATACTTTACATATAGCTATATCACTTTACTTACAAGTTGTACTGTGTTGAGGTTCTATGATGGATATTTTCTTGTTGGTGATGACTCCCGGATGGACCACCGTGATCCAATACACCAGAACTACGCATATTCCAACTAGGGGCAGGGTCATAACTTGTAAAATTCATATCCGAACGGTACCCCCTATGAAAAATAAGAGTGTTAATACAAATTCAATTAAAACATAAAATAAACATCGCTAAAGCGTAGAAAAATTGAAGTTTACCAGTTGTCTTGTGGATTATATAAAGTCAAAAAATTATTTTGTGGCTGCTCATTCGCCGGTGGTGACAAGTTTAAATCAAGGCAAGCTCTTTCATTAGCAATCTGTCCGGCAAAAACTGCTTCAGAATAACCACCCGATGACTGGGGGTTATCTCTACTATGCACACCCTCATTATTGGGAACGTCTTCAACCTTGACGAACATTTCCAACAATTTTATTACAATAAATTTCCTGTATTCATTCGGAATCCACAAAAAATCTCTAAGAGTTTCATCACCTTCGATGTTAAACTCAGAATAATAAGCAAACCCATGCGGAGTTACTAAATACGGAAATCTACCGATTACTTTAAGGTTCACCGAACGTTTCCTTACATTCATTTTTTACGTAATAACGATACCAATTTATCGTACTCCATTGTAAGCACCAATTTAACATGACACTGTGGAGGTGAGCTATACCTCATAGAGTCATTCTCCATTACAACCTCACCCCAATATAACGAAACCCTTATTTTTAGCTCTTCAGACATTATAAAAAAATGTTTGATAAGAAGAAGAGAGAAGTATGAAAGAAAGTTTTGAATGGATTTTCATAAAAATCAAACGCCTTTAAATAAGGCAAGTCCGAGCTTGGGTGCAGAGTTTTTTTTTATGTAAAATGTAGTATAATATCACGTTTTATGTATTTGAATTATTGTTATGTCAGTTATCCGCAGAATACTTATTGGTGTGTCCAAAAATTAGTGTAAAACGCAGTATAATACTACGTTTCAGTGTAAAACGTAATATTATAATACGTTTTACACTAAAAAACAAATATTCTATGCAGTCTTGAAGAACTCTTATTATTGGTGGGCCCAATTTTATAGGAAAATGTAGTAAACGTAGTATTATACTGCGTTTCCCTTAAAAAAATAATTTTTTAATAAAATGCAACGCAGTATTATACTGCGTTTAACTTTAACGGCTAACTTTCCATTAATGTATAATGCAGTATAATACTACGTTTTAGTTAGAAATGTAACTTTTTTTTTAAAAAAAATTATGTCCAAAAAGCATCCAAACAAAGAGCCCGGGGGTTAGAAAATGGAAAAACCCTGGTGGCTCCAGAAACGCCATAAACCCCAAATTTGAAGCAGAATCAGAAAATCAAAATTGACACATAAGAAAAAACTAAAAAGCAATAATAACAAAGTACCCATGGATGATGGAGAAGGAGGATTAAGCTTTGACTTCGAGGGCGGACTAGACACAGTGCCAACACACCCAACTGCATCAGTACCAGTAATACAATCCTCAGACCATTACAACACCACTACCACTGCGGGCCCCGCCCCGAGTGCCTCTACTGCCTCAGTACCTACAGTCGGACTAGGGCAAGGCCAATTAGGGGATGGTTCGTTTGTTGGGAATCGTAGAAGCTTCAGGCAGACTGTTTGCCGGCATTGGCTGCGGTCATTGTGTATGAAGGGTGATGCTTGTGGATTCCTCCACCAATATGATAAGTCTCGAATGCCTATTTGCAGATTTTTTCGACTTTACGGCGAGTGTCGTGAGCCGGATTGTGTTTATAAGCACACCAATGAGGATATTAAAGAGTGTAACATGTGAGTTTCTCCCATTGATCTGTCCTCTACTTTTTTTCTTTGCGATGTATTTATAACTGCAATATTTTAACTCATGCTATTTTCTGCGTGTCTCTGTGTGTGTGTGTGTGTGTGTGTTTGGGGAGGGGGGGGGGGG